CTCCCTAGGTGCAGCACTTTGCATTTCTCCTTGTTGAACTGCATTCTATTGTTTTCTGCCCATTTGTCCAGCCTGTCCAGGTCTGCCTGTAGTTGTTCCCTGCCCTCCAGTGTGTCCACTTCTCCCCACAGTTTTGTATCATCTGCAAACTTGGACAGAGTACACTTCACTCCCTGGTCCAAGTCACTGATGAAGACATTGAAGAGTATTGGTCCAAGGACCGAGCCCTGCAGGACCCCACTGCCCACACCCTTCCAGGTTGATACCAACCCATCCACCACCACTCTCTGGGTACGACTTTCTAGCCAATTTGCCACCCACCAGACTGTGTAGTCATCCAAGTCACAGCCTCTTAATTTGTTCATCAGTATGGGGTGGGATACCCTATTGAAGGCCTTCCTGAAGTCTAAGTAAACGATGTCTACCCCTACTCCTACATCCAGGTGTTTTGTAACCTGGCCATAAAAAGAGACTAGATTAGTCAGTCATGATCTACCTGCTACGAACCCATGCTGGTTTCCCCTCAGCATAATTTTTCCTGCTGGGTTCTCACATATATGAGCCTTAATAATCTTTTCAAAGATTTTGCCAAGGATGGAGGTGAGACTGACTGGCCTGTATTTGCCTGGATCCTCCTTCCTCACCTTCTTGAAAATAGGGACCACATTGGCCCTTTTCCAGTCCTCTGGGACCTGGCCCGTGCTCCACGAGTGCTCAAATATTCTTGCCAGTGGCTGTGCAATGACATCAGCCAGTACCTTCAGTACCCTCAGATGAAGCTCATCCAGGCCTGCTGACTTAAATGCATCCAGTCCTTTCAAGTGACTCTGCAACATCTCAGGGTCAATGCTTGGTAGTCTGGCGCCCTGCTGTTGCCTCTCTACAATCCCCAATCCCATTGTGAGACTTGTCTTGCCCCTCGTGTAGGAACACTGAGGCAAAGAACTCATATCTATATATATGTGTGTATGTATGTATGTATGTACATATTACTAAATGGATATATACTGTATTAGATTTAACTTAATAAAATGTATGTAAGCTGAAGAACAGTTCATTTCACTGTCTGTATTGTGTTTGTAGCTCAGATAAAAGGAATATTCCCCAAAGCAACAACCTTGTTTTATAACATGTATCTTTATAATATAGATGTTTCAGCATATATGTAGTATGATCATATTTCTTATCATCCATTCATTTTAATTTTTAAATGATAATGAAGGTGCTATAGAAAAAAGTATTTCATTATGGTGATATTAGGTAAGGTGGGAAAATTAGCCAGAGTTACTCTGAATATTCTGCTGGGCCCTTGCTTTGCTGAAATGATCTGAAATCTTACACAACATTTAAGAAAAATACATAGTAGTATACAGTTACATCATGCAATTCTTATGTGGGTCCCTGAAAATGGAAGTGATTAATCTGCTTTTAGGGCGTGGTTCAGATTTGGGCAATGAAAACTCTCCCTAAAGAAAAACAAATTGAGGTTTCTTTTATGCAACCACATTTGTCATTCATAATTGTTGAAATCTCCAGGGTCCTACTGGAAAAAAAGGAATGTCTGGTCAAGCTGGGAAAACTGGAATTCCAGTTAAGTATCAATATTTCACCTTCTGCCTTCTGTTTGTAAACTGGAGAAATGTATTTGATGTTGTAAACAAAAATCAAAACTGTTCAATGTCTGTGGTAGCACAGTACTGTTTCTTACATACACCAGTGCTACTTTTCCTTGCTCTGGCAGTATAAAGGACACTCAAAGCCAACATATAAGTAATTTATGCCCCCTTTAAGTTCCCCTACACTGACCAAGAAGTGTAATGAGGCTTTTATGTAAGTGATAATCAGTTTAATAATCTGTGATAAAATAAAAAGGGATGTTAAATGATACCTAACGGCATTATCTCAACATAGTGGAATGAAGTACAATTACTAACTCTATAGCCTGAAGGTTCCTTCCATTTATAAAGTTATAATTATATTAGTTATCTGTGAAGTTTACATATCCCACCCAGTTATTACCAAGTTAAATTGCACTGTGCATTCCCACTAGCCACTCTTACTGGCTCCTATATGTTCTTGTTTGAATGGCTACTACCTTCAGAAGTCTCCATAGCTATCATGGACAGATACAGCTGCCCGTGCTCCTGAACTGCATCCCACTGTGTCACATACCTGACCTGAGATATTAAACATTCTTTTAAAAATGTATTATTCATTTTAGGGAAATGAATTCATCCCCTTTCCTCAAAGGACAAGCAACAGAGAGAAGCAGGAGATGTTCTGTAAACATAACTTCGGACTTATTGGGTGCATCTACACACACATTTGATTCGAGATCAGTTTACTTGTGAGTAAATTACTCGCAAGTAAATGCTCCCGGGCAGGTGTCTACACATGCAGGGACATGGGAGAAGATTTGCTGCTCCTAGCAGCAAACTGCTTCCACTTCCTGCGGCCCCGCAATGAGCCCTTACCCCCACCAGGGGGAGCTCAAGGCTTCACCTGCAGCTGCCAGCAGCAGCAGCCGTCTTGAAAAGCCAGCCCCACTCTCTGCTTCCTGGCCAGCCACTTCCCCGGCCAGGAGCAGCACGTACAGTGCAGGGGCAGCACATGGCAGCTCTCTCATTGCCACCTCTCCACCCCTGTGCCATGGCTGCTCCATCCCTGCCCCGGCAGTGATGCCCAGTGCCCTGGGCTCCTGATGGCCACCTCGCCGGCCCTGCTGGCCGGCCGCGCCAACTTCTGGCTGGCCCATGACCATCTGGGCCCTACTGGCTCCCCCACATGCAATGACTGCCTGCCCATCTAATCCAGATGCCCTGGATTGGACCCACATCTCCATCACCTGCCCACCCCATGGTGATTGCCCCTACTACATCTGGAGGGGCTTTCACACTGTCGTGCTCCAGGCCATCATTGACCACTGCAGCACCTTCACAAACATGAGTTCCAGCTGGGCAGGAAGTGCCCACGACACCCACATATTTTGCAACTCCGCCCTGCCAGGCCTGGTGCAGAGCAGGCACTTTGCACCGGGGGTGTCAGACCAGCAGCTGGGTGCCACGGTGGTCCTGCCCCTCCTCACCAGAGACCCCACCTACCCACTCCTGCCCTGCTCATGTGGCCCTACACCAGCCACCTGGATTCCCACAAGGCCCATTTTAACTGGTGCCTGGGCCAGACCCGTGCCCTGGTGGAGTGCACCTTCAGCCACTCAAGGGATGCTGGCACACCCTCACCGCCCATATCAAGTTTGCTGAGGATAACAACGCCCGGGTCATTGTCATAGTCTGTGGGCTGCATAACATCTGTGAGGCCCGGGGGAAGCTGATTCATGAGGCCTGGGAGAGGAGGCATGGTGGGCGAAGGACACCTGGCAGTGGGAGCACCAGCTGCAGTAGCAGCAACAGTGGCACCACACCCCCTACTGAGGCCCTGGGCGAGCTGCACACCCGCCAGCAGGGGCCAGAGCATAAAGTGCAAGAGGCAGTGGCCAACCACCTCTGCCTGCACTTTCTCATAGCACGCTGTAGTGCACCTGGACAGCCACCCACAGACCCCTGCCCCACCACCTTCCCCCAGCATCACACTCGCTGCAGACACATCTCAGAAGAACAACAGGTTTTATTCCCCTCACATCCAACAGACCCCTTCTCCCCTTTTCCTCGCCAGCACCAGAGCCCCTCCACCACCCACTCCACCCACCAACAATAAAATACCCTCTTCCCTGTGCAAACTATTTACAAGTGAAGTTCTGTGATTGTGTGTGTGCCCTCCCACAGTGGATGGCCATCGGGTGGGGGCATCTAGGAGCAGAGCCCAAGGACAGGTGGCCAGCAGTCCAGCCCCTGGCCATTCCTCCATGGGTACACACACCACAGTGAGCCCAGCAAGTGGAGGGGCAACAGTGGAGCAAAAGTGGAATAGGGGCAAAAGTGGAGGGGCCTCCTCCAGCGACATGTCACCACAGGTGCCAGGCTGGGGCAGGGGCTCAGGTAGACTGCCCATGCTGCTGTACACATCATGGCTGCATCCCGAGGTGCAAGAATCTTTATCAACTGCCTCATAAAGGGCATGGTCTTGTGGGCACTCCCCAACTGACAATTGTGGTTGGAGATGGAAACCCACTGTCCTCGGCTTGACCTTTATTCAGCACTGCTGTGCTGACCAGTTTTCCCTATGCTCCCACATCTGGCCTGACAGCCCCTCATAGACATGGGCATTGGAGCCCCCACCCTGCACGAACTGCTGCTGCACCTCCACCTTGCCCCACAGTGCCATGAGGTCACCAGTCTCCTGTGACCAGTTTGGGCCTCGGGTGTCAGGGTGTGGCGTCCGTGATGATGAGGCCATTGGGGCTCACGCACCAGCTCTCAGGGCCTCCGCATGGCTGTCCCTGTGCTGCCAGGCCTGGGCAGCTGCCTGCAGCACCCAATGCAGGGGTATGGTGATGGACTGGCACCTGCGCAGAGAAGCAATGCCCCATAGCACCTGCAGGCTCCAGACAGGATGCTAGGGGTGGGCTGCAGGCATATGGAGCTGGACACAGTGGCCAGGAGCTGCCTACAGCTGGGCCTGGATGCTGACGGGCCTGACAGCACCCTGCAGGCCTGGATGGTGTAGGCCCAGGAGCTGTGCGGCACCGCGTCCTGCCTAGGGGCACACAGGAGCCTGGTGTGGCCTCAGGCTGCCTTCTTGTGCCCCAGGACTCTGAGTGCCTGCATGCTTTTAAGAGCCTGAGGCTGGGGCAGGCATAGAGCTGACCCAGTCCTGGGGCAGGAGAGTGCCCCAGCCCTGGACCTAGCCCCAGGCTGGCTGCCATGTGGTGGGGCTGACGGAGCAAATTTGCTCACAGTTGGTGCCTACATGTGTATTATTGCACAGTAGCTACTTGCGAGTAAATATGCTACTTGCATTCATGAGTAGCAAATTTACTTGCAAGTAACATCATTTACTGTGTGGTAAACGTGCACGTGGAGGTACGTACGCTTACTGCACAATAAACTACACAACTGTGCAATAAAGCATCTTGTGTAGATGCGCCCACAACGTATAAATTATTTCTGGGTCCATTAATACATTAAAACACACTAATACATGCTCTAAATAACTTTTACTAGCTCCACATTTCTCATTACCACAGAAGTTTGCCTTCCTTGTAGAATCAGGCAACAACTGGTGCACTCTAGGCAGGGTGGAGGACATACCCTTCAAAGGACACACAACATTCTGTGCCAGTCATAAGAGTTCAGTTATATCCTCTGGAAGACTGAACAGATATACATTGCAGACTGGAGAGAATATGAGGAAAGGCAGGCAGAAGGAAGGAAAAGCAAAGAAAAGAGGATGGTGGGAGCACTTCAAAGAACATTTGGGTTCACTTAAAGTGACAAGTTTCTTCTATAACTAAATATGATAAAAACATTACATGGAAGATAGTTTATATTTTTATAGGATAATTGCTGAATACGTATTTTTAGATGAAGCAAAGGGATTGTAGTTGGAAAGAATATTTTGTATTTCTGGTGTATGCATTCACTTGGAAAGTGAATATGAATATATGAATTCTATATGAATATAGAACTATATGAATTCTAAGCATCATTACCCAACCTCTTACAGTTTAAAAGTAGGTCATCTTGTAAACATCAAGTCAAGATGCTTGGGTAGCTTTCCGGGAAAGCTTAGCCTCAGATTAGCTAGAAAAGTGCATTCTTACAAGAAGGTCTCAAGTGGTTTTGAGCATATTCCTGCTTGAATTAAATAATTTCCCAATTGTACAGTAGCTCCAAAACTTTTTAAGACATGGCCTCTGACTTGTGGATCCTTGATGTTTGAGACATTTTGAGCCCAATGTTCTGTAAAGCCACAATTCCAGTTGAAATCAGTGGAAGCTATGAGTGCTCCATATCTCAGTGCAGGCATCCAACTTGAGAACCCATTTTTTAAAAGGTTGGTCGAGGTGGTATATTAGGGCATACTGTTATTGAAGTCTTGCTTCTAGGACAACGGATGTGAATAGGTTCTTTAGTTTCATATTGTATTTGAATTTGTTTCAAGGGAAAACCAGGCTCACCTGGGCAGAAAGGTGCAACTGGATACCCTGGAACAGAGGGCATTCCTGGAGATCCTGGGAAGCCTGGCCTACAGGGGAAACCTGGCCCTCAAGTGAGTGCTATATACCACATCTTGCTTTGTGTCTTTACTGCAGGAACAGTGTGGAGTTTCAAGATTTCTTTCAAGTAGTTGTTACTGTAGTTCTTTGGAGTTGAACATAGAGAGTGTACCATCTTAGAGAGCTTTTCTTTTTTGGTTTAGCCTTTTCAGTCAAAATTCAACATTCATCCAGTATTTATAAATGCTACATATGAACGATAATAAAACTGACATCAGTCGTACACACTTAAGAAATAATCTTAAGAAGAGCTAGCTGCATCACATCATAGAGAGACCAGCACTTTTACTACAAAAGCATATCAGTGCAGCAGGCTGCAAACCAGAAGGATGTATGTAAAAGCTATGGAACCATCTTTAATATGAAAGGTCACTGGGACACCTTCTTTGTTAATATAAACAATGAATGGAGCTACCTAAGAGATGAGCTACATATTATGCATTTGGTATTAATGGCATGGACAAACTTTTACTGGGGGTGAAGGAAGGGGGAACTGCTGCTCCTGAGCAGCAGCTGTTATGCTGTAACACTTACGTGGTCATGAACCTGTAAGCATACAAACATAGTGAAACCGCTTCATCTTTACCTCTGCTTCATCCAGGGTTACAGCGAGAGGGGATTAATTCACTTGAGAGGCTCATGCACACATACCAATTAGAGTGCAACAGCTGCTGCACACTCCCAAGCAGAAGCTCCACTTTCAAAGCCATGTGTGTCCATATCCCCAGTGACACCACAGTATATGCTAGCCGTGGATGAAGATGTATTTCCATTCACATTTATGTACATGTTCTTTTGGCTTAGCTCCATATTCACAGGGACTTGTTTTTTATATTTAAAATGGTTCCCCTTGTTTCCAGTCTGAGGTAATGAGATATTTTTGTAACAAAGGTCCCAGTCTTCCTTCATGTGGTAAACTTATTCTTTATACATCCCTTGAGAACATACACAATAATGCTATTACTGTGAGCATGTCTGGTATTTATAAATAGGCATGTTGAATTTTGAATGTTTCTGAAAGACGCCATGAAAAAAGTACTGTCATGTTGTTTTATTTTGTGGCGCTCTTTCTCCTTGACAAATGAGTCTTCCAGGGTTCAACAGTCCTTTCAGCACAGCTGCAAGGAGTGAAGCTGACATCTTGTTTTCATCAAGATGAACTCATTATAAACTTATGTTCTTCTGAGTTCTTAGACCTAATTAAAAAGAAAACAACATTATCTTTGCAAAAATTGTACATTTGTCATCCCCAAATAAGCCCAAGTAGTCATTCACTATGTTTAGCACTGATTAGGCCGCTTATCCTGCATATTTTAGACTGTAGTCAGGAAAATATAAGTTTTGATCAGACTCCCCTAAGTCTGGGATGTGGGAATAGTTTCAGATAGATGGGTCAAAATCTTAAGTAAACAATTGTGTTTGAGCCCTATCATCCTTGGAGAGTAAAAGCAGCCACTGATATGTTGGTAAAAGTTTCCAAATACATTTATATAAACAATGATATGGATAATGATTCTTTACTTAATTTATACTACACCAACATCCAAACTGAGGTCCCCATCCTGCTGCTGACTTCACACATGGATTCCTTCTACTATTAGGAAGTGCCATTGACTTCCTTGTGTTTCATGCTGGGCCTTACTGGGGCTTTGGTAGGTGATTCTCAGAGTAACTATCAGGAGATTCAATCTTATCACAAAATGCTTTAGTTGCAAGAACAAATTTATTTCTAAAATTATCTCAGTCTGTTATAAATCTAGATATTGTTTAGCTGAGCATTTGCAAATTCACTGATACAAATTTACACACACTTGTAAGTAGCAGTGGCTGTACCCATTAAAATATTGCATATGTTTTAATAAAGCAAAAATTGCATACAACAAGAACGGTGCCATTAGCCTATCTGATTGTACTTGCTTATTGTTTACTTACAAAGGGTAACGCTGGAAGCCCAGGAGTTCCAGGACTGGCTGGGTACCCTGGAACCCGGGGACCAAAGGGATTTCCAGGCTTGCCAGGTGCTACTGGAGCACCAGGACTGAAGGTACCATGAATGGTAGCTTAATATGTTTGTCAAATACAATATTATCGATGTTTCTTAATCTTCAGGCCACTCAGGCATAGGACACCAATGTGCATTCTAATAAGGCTGGTATTACAAAATGTAAGATGTTGCTTGTTCTGAGACTCTCCTTATTGCTTACATTTTACAAAAACAGTGAAAATTGGTTTGGAGGCACTGGTTCCCATGCACAGGCATGCTGCTTCCCAATCCAAAATGCATCTACTTTAAGCTATTATTAATACAGGTTTTAGGGCCACATCCTTCAGATTGATCTCTGACTACAGAGATCTACAGGTAGATCTACAGAGATCTACAGGTCTGCCTCCTAAGGTTATCTAAGATAACTTTAGATAACCTAAGATAACCTGCTAAGGTAGCAGGCAGACTACACATAACAGACTTGTGGGTTATACTCAAGTACAGTCTTGATGATTTAGACCTTTAAGCTATCCATTAATGTCTCATGGCAATACTTTCAAACACAGCGTCCAGTCTTGAAAGGTAGCACGCATCTCTAGATTATTCAGTGGGCAACTGGGTACCAACTTTGAGGGGGCACAAAAATAGTGGCCACCAGCACTGCTGCTGCCCAAGGTACAAAAAGCTGCTTGTTAACACCTCTATCCAGATCCCTTAGTAAAACTTAGGTCTTTTTTATCTAAGCACTGAACATATATATGGGATTAAATAGACCCTACCCAGAAAGTCTGCACTCTAAAAAGACAAGAAAAAGACAAAGAAGGGAGGGGAAGGGTGTACAACATATTCTCAAAGGTGTGCTTTTGCCATCATATAAGATTTGCATTTAAGTCAAAAGGAGTGCATCTACACATGAAATTAAGTGCACAGTAAACTAACCTGCTGTGACATAAGGCATCATAGTTTACATGTGCAATGCTATTAGATAACAGCAAATTAGTTTTTGCCACAGTAAGGTAGTGCCTAAGCACACATGTAAATGCTGACCTGGGTGTGCATTGCACCTGGTCAACCCAGGCACAGGGCTCCACACACTGGGGCACTCTCATGCCCTAGCCAGCCCCTCCAGTACCCAACGCTGCCTCTAGGAGCCCGGGCTTACCCTCTGAGTCTGCTGCCAGCCCAGGGCTGCTCCACCCCAGCTCAAACTGCTGTGGTCCCAGGCACAGCATCTGCATGTGCAGCCTGAACTGCAGCAGTTTGAGCATCTACACGTGCCATTAAGATGCTATGATAAACTCTGGAGTTTATCATGGCATATGTAGATGCACCCAGGAATAATTACCTGGAAATATTCCTAAAGAAAATGCAGTGGTGAAATACAGTGTTTGTTTGAAAGAAGTAATGAAAAGTGTATTGCAGCTGTTGCTGTTGATATATAAATATTTATGTACTTTCAATAGGGAAACTATTGAAAATACTGTATTCTACTGCAGTGATAATAAAAGGTGTGTTATCTCCCTTTCTACAGGGTGAGAAAGGGCTCCAAGGTCATCCAGGGAAACAAGGTAAAAGAGGCCTTCCAGGGGTGCCAGGTGACCAAGGCCCACCTGGAGATTCTGGGCTGAAAGGACAGGCTGTAAGTATCCACTCTACATGGTGCAAAGGAAGTTTTCTAATAGTTTGGTTGGCAACATGGAATAATAACCAGCATGTCTTCTAATTTACAGGGGGAACATGGAGAACAAGGTTTGATGGGGCTTCAAGGATTCCCAGGTCCAAAAGTATGTATTCAACTTTTTCTTTTTGATTTTAAGAAATATGCAAAACAAGATCACTAAGCCAAGGACAGCTGTAGCAATAATTTGTTTTAAAATGTCCCGAGACCAACTGGAATGTTGAAAGCTTGAATTCGAATGTTGTGTGGCAGTTCCAAGAGAGTTCAAAGTAGAATTCTGAACCAGCTTGTTTAATATTTTCATTTTGATTACTCTCTGCAAATGTCTGGCTTCGCCTTTCCAGACTGATCTTTCAAAAAATAATTACTTACAGTAGATTTGGTTGAGATAGATTAAAAGGTAGCAACCTATCACATATTCATACTTAATTTCATCATTTTTAATAACATTCTATTTTTATAACATTTCATTTTATTTTTAGGGTCCTTCAGGAGACATTGGTTTAATTGGGATTCTGGGTCCTAAAGGTCCTATTGGCCAAATTGTAAGTGTTGTATTTCAGTCCATGAAATAGTTTTCCACAATGCCGTGTAAGTGTCTCGCCCTCAGTCAGTAGTCTCTTCATTGAGAGGTCTTTCATCTGATTGAACGAGACAGATAAATCCCTTTTTAATCCTAAACAAACTGGAAATGTAGTTTAATAACCCACGCTGAGCGTGAGTCTTCACTAAGAGCACTTCATCTGAATAGGAATACTGATAATATATACCAGGTAGGAGTATAGCTATACCAGCAAAACTGTGCTCTTGATCAGCAGAGTAAAATCACCCTCAAAGAGCAAAGCTATAATAAAGATAGCATAGTTCTAATGGATTAACTGCACTCAGTCAACTGGGCTTCTTCTGGTAGTCTTTGAGTGCTTTTTGTAGCCATGATGGTCCCAGAAATATGTGAAAGGCAAGGATTTCTACAGGTGATATCTTTTATTGGGTCAACTGCATGGTTGGAATACATTAGAGGCCTTGGCATAAATGCCTCTGTCTCATATACATCTTCCATTATATAATGATTGGAGCAAACTCTGGGTAACCTTGTATAGAGACAGGCTTGCAAGGCCAGATTCCATGTTTTTGCTGATTTAAACAGGGAAGTACTTGATCAAATGTTTGACTATAGAAAGGCAAAGTAACTGAAACTGTTACCATAAGGAATAGTACTCATTGTCGAGAGTCAAAACCTAACTGAAAACCTCTGAAAGGCCCTTCTACTTAGAGTTCTTAAATGTTCATCATAAATTCTTCACGTAGCTGTCGGGGGTGGTCTTCATGATATACCCCTTTCATTAACATATACCAAATCAAGGTGTAGATAAAAGCATTGCATTAATGATTGTATAGCTGTGATTATAAACCTTGGGATGATGACAGAGGGAAATAGTGGACCTGAATTGTTGGGGGAACTGAGCAACTAACTGAGCTCAGTGCCTAGGGTTCAGCCTATACCCATCCTCCCCAACATGAGTATGTTTTTGCATTTCCATTGCCTGATCTAAATGCTAATTAAACTTGTGCTTAGGTTTCCAATAAAGTGATTCTCTTGAGTAAACAGATATGCTCTCTTCTCTGTTCTGGGGCCCCATCTAACAAAGTAAGCTCCCTTTTGTCCCAGTTAAGATAGCTTCCCTTCAGGATAGACTTTGACCAGGTCTCAAATGCAGTTTGTTCTTCTTTCTGAAGGAGAATGCACTGTATTTGAAAGCTAAACTAAATGAGCTAAACTAAATTAGCTAATTTTATATGACCTGTGAAAACTTTTCATATGTTTCTCATGCTCCTCTGCCATGTTAAAGGGAGGTGCTGTTAGGATTTACCAAAAGCTGCATTCTGCAGAGAGAGCTCACACTGTAGGAACTGAAAAATGGCCAGTTCACAAATCTACAAATCTCACTGTAAAAAGCTGTACTCTTCCCTGCCAATAGTGTTGTCATACATATGGTCATATGCATGAAGACTTCTAGGGCAGTCTGGCTGGCTGGCTGGCTTCAGAGAGAATCAGCCCAAGCAATTATTTTTTATAGGTTTCTCTTTCTGGCTGTCTCTGTACAGGACAAAAATGGTTCTGAGCAGTTTGCACAAAAAGAGACATAAATAGCACAGTAAAATATTTCTCTGAGCAGCATTTATTGGTGATCTGGAATGACTACTTGTGGGTAATAATGTAGCTGGTGGTAGTTCAAAACAAAGAATATGTGGTGGTTGGGTAAACAAGAGTCTTCAAAACCCATTGCTTTTAGTACTCCAGACTTCCCAAACAGAGCTCTCTAGGTTCTCCAGATGCAAATAAGTACTAATTATTGAAATATTTATCTTATTAATTACCTAATATCCAGAAAACCAACACTGGCAGACATGCATGCTATCCAGGGTATGTCTATACTACATCCGCAGTGCTCCAAGTAAGCCTTGTTTTCCACTGTGCCCTGGCCATTCACATACCAAACCCAGAAGTGATGCATTTGCCATCCTGAGGGTCAAGTCCACTGCTGCTCTTGAGCTGTCTGGTATGTTTGAAATCAATTGAGGGGGCATAGTGGTCTCATCGTCTCATGTCCATGGTTAGCACATGAAAGTGGAAGCAGCAGAGAAAGGTATGCTTGAGGACAGAGCTCTTCATTAATAGGATGTGATGTAGATATACTTTTTGTTACTGCTGTGTATGTTGTTGAGAAGCTAAAACCCTATAATTAGTCACCAAGACATAGTGTGACATTGAAACTGATATAATTCATTTAAAGACTGAACAATCTTACCTTACCCTATCAAGACACCGTGTTTCATGGCTATGTCTTCATTTTGAAATATGATAAGGTGGTAAATGTCTGTTTGTTTGCTTACAGGGATCCATGGGGCCCACTGGTCAAGAAGGTATAATTGGCCCAGCAGGCAGGCCGGTATGTTTAAGTCCTAAGGTTCCCTTTTCTTTTCCATTATTTGTTATGTTTCTTTGTTTGATCCATGTATTTAAATATGGCTTACGACATTTTTTTCAATGTAAACAGAAAGTAGCAAGACCTTTTTCATACTGCACCATATCTGCAAACTATCTTATGTGATCCAAATGTAAGCAGAACAAACTAAGAGACACAGCAGAGTCACTTGAATGAATGGCCACTCTTTTTGTTCATAGAATACGAACAGGAATATACTCAGCAAGTTAAGGTGTAAAGATGAGATACATACTTTAAAGTGTATTAAACCCTTGGCAAAGTCTTTGATCCTTGGCAAAGTCTTTGAAAAAATTATCAAGGCTCACATATGCGAGAGCCCGGCAGGACAAATTATGCTGAGAGGAAACCAGCACGGGTTCGTGGCAGGCAGATCGTGCCTGACCAATCTAGTCTCTTTTTATGACCAGGTTACGAAATGCCTGGACACAGGAGGAGGGGTGGATGTCGTGTACTTAGACTTCAGGAAGGCCTTCGATACGGTATTCCACCCCATACTGGTGAACAAGTTAAGAGGCTGTGACTTGGATGACTACACAGTCTGGTGGGTGGCAAATTGGCTGGAGGGTCGCACCCAGAGAGTCATGGTGGATGGGTCGGCTTCGACCTGGAAGGGTGTGGGCAGTGGGGTCCCGCAGGGCTCGGTCCTTGGACTGATACTCTTTAATGTCTTCATCAGCGACTTGGACGAGGGAGTGAAATGTACTCTGTCCAAGTTTGTAGATGACACAAAGCTATGGGGAGAAGTGGACACGCCGGAGGGCAGGGAACAGCTGCAAGCAGACCTGGACAGGTTAGACAAGTGGGCAGAAAACAACAGAATGCAGTTCAACAAGGAGAAATGCAAAGTGCTGCACCTAGGGAGGAAAAATGTCCAGCACACCTACAGCCTAGGGAATGACCTGCTGGGTGGCACGGAAGTGGAAAGGGATCTTGGAGTCCTAGTGGACTCTAAGATGAACATGAATCGGCAGTGTGACGAAGCCATCAGAAAAGCCAATGGCACTTTATCGTGCATCAGCAGATGGATGACGAATAGATCCAAGGAGGTGATACTTCCCCTCTATCGGGCACTGGTCAGACCGCAGTTGGAGTACTGCATGCAATTCTGGGCACCGCACTTCAAGAGGGATGTGGATAACCTGGAGAGGATCCAGAGAAGGGCCACTC